CATAGTATTCCATTGTAAGGAAAGTTCTTTTGAGCAACACACATTTAGTGACATTATTTGAAGGACTTTGTACAGAGCCACTGGGAAACCAGCCTCTCTTCCTGGAACCTCTGGTTTAAAACCCACCAGGGCTTCAAGCAGAGGATAAAGCCAATGGAGGCCTTGAGGACCAGCTGGGTTTTGAGGATGCTTAATAGATGTCTAGGCCAAATGTCCTCTATTTACTTATACACCCCAATGAGGAGACCTCCAGCTAATATGTAACAGGTTCACAAGAAAGAGTTGCCATTATAGCACTTGCAGTTTTCAAAGGATTTTCTGGTACACTATCTCGATTTTTATCCTCATAATACTGCTACAAGTTAAGGAAAGCTGCTTTATTCTAACTTACTGCTGAGAGTTGCTGAGCGATTAGTTTGATGTGACAGAGGTGGAACTCAAGTCTAGGCAGGCTTTTCAATTTCAAAAGTCATGCTCTTAATGGCTACACTAACACTTTCTGATGGCCAAGAACAACCAGTCAATAAACGTGAAGACCAGAAGGCAGAGCTATGCATTCAAGTTAGTGACATGCTGGATGGTTTCAGCAGCTCTTTCACATATTTTCCTTACAAGAAAAATCTTCCAGCATCTAGTATCTAAAACAATACTGGGCTGTTTAGATTCTTCTCAGTGATATTGTTAGGTGCTGCTGAGTCGAGTACAACTCATAGTAACCCTATGAACAACAGCACAGAACCTGGCCTGTCACGTGTTGTTCTCACCATCCCTGCCACACTTGAGGCCATGGACTGTCAAAAGAACAAACTGATACGTCCTGAGAAAAGAACAGCCAGAGTGCTCCTTGGAGGCAAAGATGACAAAGCTTCGGCTCACATACTTTGGGCCTGTTGTTAGCAGAAGTTATTCCTGGGGAAGGGACATCCTGCTTGGAAAAGTGGAGGGTCAGCAGAAGACAGGAATTCTTAGCAGCAGTGGGAAATAATGATTCTATTGTAGATTTGAGCTCTGGTGGCCTAGTGGCAAGAAGCTGCGCTGCAATCCCAAAGGCATGCTGTTCAAGGCCACCAGCTGCCTCGCAGGAGAAGGATGGGCAATCTCCTCCCATGCGATTAACTGCCTCTGAAAACCCACCAGCTGGTGCAGCTATGGGTCGGTTCCAACTCAACAGAACACAACAACAACAACAGTGTAGATTTACGGCTTTCCATATCAGAGACCTGAGTTCAATTCACAGCTATTGCATCTCATGTACAGCCACTGTCTATTGGTCAGTAGAGGCTGGCAGGTCTCTGTGATGCTCAAAGCTATGTCATTAGCATTTCAAATATGAGCAAGGTCACAGATGGTGGACACGTTTTAGCTGAGCTACTAGACTAAGACAGAATAGGAAGGCCTGGCCATCTACTTCTGAAAAGCAAGCAATGAAAACCCTATGCTGCCTGGGTAATACAAATAGTTTGCAACTGATACAAACCTATAGGTTGGTGGTTCAAACCTATCCAGTGTTGACATGGAAAAAAAGGGCCACAGAAAGGATGGCTTTCACTAAACATCAATGACCATCTAAGGGGTCATAGGGATGGCACAAGGTACAGGCAGCATTTCATCCCATTGTGTGAGGAGTTGCCACACGTTGGTAGCTAACAGTAGGAGCGATAGTGATGCTAAAGAGGCGAGCAGTTAGTACATAGTAATAGGCATCTGACTGTGTGGATCACAACAAGTTGTGGCTAATGTTGAGAGGAATGCAAATCCCAGAACACTTGATTGTGCTCATGCAAAACCTATACCTAGGCCAGGAAGGTGTGGTCTGAGCAGAGCAAGAGAAAACTGCATGCCGCCAATCACCACTCACAAAGTAGGATATAAGACATCATCTCTGTGGGCTGTTTTGCCAATTGATCTTGATGTCCCCTTGAGACTATGGTTCTAAGTCCCCAAGTCTCGTGATGCTTTCCCTTCCCGTCTTTGGTTCTAGTCAATGAAAAGAACAACCACGCTTCTGGACGGGACTATTTATAATTGTGAAAATGTCAATACAACCCAAAACCATCTACAGCTAAAATGGTGGTCTTTTTATCTTTGTGAGATCAGCTTGCCAAGTCCATGCCTGATGGAGCTGCTGATGAGCTTGAACCATTGGCCTTTCAGATAGCAGGCAAGCACTTAGTTGTAGTGCATACCTCTAAGCCATATGGTTGACAGTCATACCTCTAAGCTGGGTACAGGAATTAGGAAGTTGGCACAAGGTTATGAGGGTTTTCAAATGTCCACTCTTTTAGAAGTACTTTAACTACTTTTTCAATGTTTGTTAAAAGCCAGGAAGGCAAAGGATCAGCAGAGAATCCTTGTGCGGTACCACTAGTTGCAGTAACTAACTGTAGTGTAGACATCATCAACTACAACAACAACTCCTAGCAACTCAATGAACAACAACAGATTGAAACCTTGCCATGACCTTTCCAGCATGATGTCTTTTCCCCAGGTCTGGCTCTTGCCTCTAAGGAGCATCCTGTCTTCACTTCCTCCAAGGTAGTTATTTGTTCTTTTGGTAGTCCATGGGACTCTTTTCCAACACCAAAATATAAAGGCATCACTTCTTCTGTTATCCTTTTTCACTGTCCAGCTCTCAAATATGTAAAAACTAATTAAAAATACCAAACAGAGGGATGTGGACATGCAGGGGGAGAAGGGGATTAATCATTGGGTTGTACAATTTGATGGGGGGAGGTGAGGGAAATTGAAAGTTTGTTCAAATTTGTATTTGAATTTTGTAAATAAACTAGTGTGTGTGTGGGGGGGAAACTCATGAAAAATACCACAGTTTGTGTCGGCCGTACCTTAGTTTTGAAATGGGCATTCTTGTTCTTTGGCACTTTAAAGAGGTCCTTGATAGCAGATTTGCCCAAGACAATGTGTCTTTTGATTTTTTGACTGCTGCTACCATGGATGTTATCTGCGGATCCAAGTAAAATGAAAACACTGACAACTTCAGTCATTCCTCCATTTACCACGATGTTTTCTATTGGTCGAAGTTGTGAGGATTTCTTTTTTTTTTTTGGTCTTCTTTATGTTGAAGTATAATTCATAGTTTTTTATCTTTAGCACATGCTTTGAGTCCTCTTCATTTTCAGTAAAAAATGTTGTGTTCATTTTACCTGAAACCTATTTCCACTGAGTGGATTCAGACTCCTGGAAGCCCTTTATGTGTCTGAGCATAGGGTTTTCAATGGCTGATTTTTCCAAAGTTGATTGCCGTGCCTTTCTTCCTCAGTGCCTCTGAGTGGAAATGAATTGCCAGTCTTTTGCTTAGAAGCTGAGGACCCAGGAACTTTGGTAGCCTTATACCCTCATCTCAATCTTTCCTTCAGAGCATCAATGAGAATCCAAAGCCTTATTGATATCTGAGGCCAGCACACCAGAGATAGTTCCCGTACTTACATAAAGTCCTCACACATGTCCTAAAATCTATGGGATTGGCTGAAACCCTCAGTGCCAATTTTTATGATAAACACCGAAAAAGGACACATTTTTGACAAAACTAACAAGTAGATTACTCTGTAGAATCAACGGAGAGGAAGTCCATATGCAATATCTGGTTTTACTTGTTGCTGATTACTGCTTTAAACATTTCCATTAAAAGGTAATGCAACATCTGTCAAAATCAATGAGCTAGAATGTGCTTTCTGTTCTCCTCCAATATGATGGCCTTGCCACTGAAGTATTAGATACCGAAAGCTGGAATGATCAGGCCCATGGAAATTAAGTGCACATTTTACATTTGCAATGAAGCCCAGGATTTAAGTAAGAGGGAAGCTGCTTGCATTCAGTGAATTTAGCAGGCCTCAGAAACATTTGTGGAACTGACTTAGGCCAGCAAGCCATACTCCACTGACCTCCTGTGCTTGTTCTTGAGAGAGCACCCAAGTTGCAAAGACACAATTTCCCCTCTTACTTAAATAATCCAAGTAGGCGAAGGTGGGAAGCAGAAAATAAGAGGTTAGTCTGAGCTCCACAAAACTCAATGTGGGTTTTAAGTTCTTCACTGAGTGCCGGAAGTCACAGGCAGCTGAAGGGGAGGACGGATGGAAGGAGCGTATCTCGAGAAGGTTTGATCGGCTTTTCTTTGCAGGTTTCTTTCAAAATATTTAGTGACTGTGGAATTCCATACTCATGGAACCCCTGAAATAGCAATGCAGGGACACTCCTGAAAATAGTGTTTTCATTTTGTGACTGCAGATTTCACTGGAGGAAGAACTGCACAAGATTTTGGCTGAAAAGGGGGAGTCCCCCTGGTCTTTCATTTCCTAGTGCTACTAGAACACGAATACCCCAAGCTGGGTGACTTTAAAGAACAGAAATTTACTGTCTGCAGTTCATTGCTGCTATGAGTGTCAAGTCAGAACCAACCCAAACGCTATTTGGCATTTTCCAACGGTAAAATCGAGTTTCACTGAAAATGTCCCAAACACGTCCCTTTCATTTGCTCTGCTAGTAGAGAAGGGAAGGGAAGCAGTACATTTCGGGCAGTGCCTTGGGCCTGAGGCTTCAAGTAATCTGGAAGGTGCTGGGTATTGACTCTCGGCTGGATTCTAAAGGGGTGCGTCTGGGAAAGGTGACCGAAGCAGCAACACTGAGATTGGAATTCATTACTTAGGTGGGGCTTTACGCCTCACATCCGAGTCACAGGAGAAATATGATACCTCTTCCATGGCAATCCTTAGTCCAAGAGAAAGCCAGCCAGTTTCTGGGTTTAATGATGACCAATATTTGTGTGCAGTTGGGAGGGGGGGGGAGCATGAAAGCAGCGTTGAAGAGCTCCATGTCTCTTTATTGTAGCTTTAAAGCAAATCCGAGCTGATTCAGCCTATTCCAGAATACCATTCCTATCTTTGCTTCTTTCCTCTTTATGAAGCCTGTGGATGTCAAAGCCCGTCCAGTACCTCACCCTCCCTCCCTCCCATTAGACACCATGTAAGTCCCTAAGACATCACTACCTGGTAGAGCTCAGTAGCAGTGCACTGAGTGGTCAACGTCTTCACGGGTTCAAGATCATCCTCATCACTGCTTATTTTCAAGTCGTCCTCAAGCATCCTAAAAAAAAAAAAGAGGGGCATTCAAGTTAGAAAGTGTTTTTCCTAAACCCTCCTCAGATTGCTCTCTTGAGAAGGATAAAATAATGGAGCTAAATCTGACATCTAAAATTCTGTCAAAGATGTCAGATTTCTTTCAACTAATTAGATATTTGAGCCCTTACCCCTACTCTGGGGGAGGCATCCACTTCCTAAACAGCATGCCTCTGGGAACTCTGGGAACTTGGATAAACGGCGATGTTTGTGGAAGGGCTTCAGGCCTTTTGTTCATGGGGTCGCTATGAGTCATGCTCAACTCCATGGCCATCCACAACAACCTTTCCCTAAATCAGGGGACGCATGGAAATGACTAATTCAGAAGATGCCTGGAGTCTATATATTTTTACTACTATAAATGCAATATACTGCTCAACCGCCATGCAGGTGAGCTGTGGCAGCGGATGCAAGCAGGATAAGATGCTCCGGGTGTTTCCTGAAATGCCAATGATCTGAAACCACCCTAGCTCTAGTGTGTGTGCTGTTAAAGTCTTCCGGGGCTTTCTAGATGACAGAAGCGCCAGGCCCAGAGAATGGCCAGTCTTTCTGTGTTCTTTGCTTGCTGCTGTGCCACTTGGAGGTCTCACAACATCTGGGCTCAAGGATTGGTTAGTCATTAACCTTGTTTTTTTAGCCACTAACTTTTTGCTACGTGAACTAGATGTTCCTGTAAAGTTTCAGCCAAGAGCTATAAGCCTACAATACGGATAGGAAATCTTTCTTTTCTTTTTTTTTTAATTTTTTATTATTATTATTTTGTGTATGTGTGTCTGTGTACCGTCAGATCAGATCTGACTGGTACAGGAGGAGATTGTCCCTCCTTTCCCGGCAGAGCATCTGGTGGATTTGAACCATGCGTCTCTGGGATTGCAGTGCAGCTTCTTGCCACTAGGCCACCAGAGCTCCCCTAGACAAATGTAATTTTAAAAGGTGAAATAGAGTAGGCTACATTGCAACAGTAAGGGTGAAATCTTTCTTTTCTAAGACAAGGTAACGGAGAAGTAAGAGTGGAGTGGTCTGAAGTTTGGTTACCAACTAGCACTTTTGAAATAGTCTAATGAGCAGACAGAGCCTTTGTTTCTCCACAGATGTTAACTCCACTGCCAGTTTTGTAGCTCAAAAGTCTATTCTCTTTGATGTTTCTATTTTCTTGAATCAAGTCCAGCTGTCAACCTTTTCTCCATGGTTCTAAATGGGGGCACTCTCATCCTCTCTGGCCCAACTGCCATTTCTCCAGCATGTTCTGTTCTCTCTTGCTTCTAAACTCAGTTTCAGGCTTTGGTTCTTGGCTTAAATTCCCTTCCTCATGTCTGGAAAGCCTATAATTTCTCCACAGCTCAGTCACATACCACCTCCTCCACAGGAGCTTTTTAGAACCCACCTTACTTAGAAAGAGCACCTTCTAGTTCTGCGCTGCCCCAGCCCCGTGCCTTTGTTTCTGGCTGGATCCCACACAGCACTGTTACCTACTGAAGTGACCTTTCTTGGAGCCTCTCCCCTCCATCTGTCCCTAAGTTCATGTGGGCAGAGGTTGGCACGTCTGTGTTCTACAGAGATGACATAGCCAACCGCCCACATTTTGCAGACAGAAAAAGATTGAGATTGGAAGAACCTCTTCTGGAAATCAATGTATTCCAATTTTGCAAATAAACTAGTATAATTAAAAAACGCATTATATAAAAGAAAGAGATTTGGCGACATGAAGGTCTTTATCTGAGATCACACAGCCAATTAGTGCCAGAGCTGGTCTTCAAATTGCCACACTGTCCCATGCTTCTCCTCACTGAAAGGAAGCTGGGAGAGACACGGAAGATTCTGATTTGATAAATGGGAGGCGGGGCTTGTCAGAGGTCATACTGGAATGATTTGAATGTGAGGAAGATACTTTGATCAGGGTGGCTGCCAGTAATCCTCCAAAGAAAACAGCCCTCCCCAATTTGAAGCAAAGTCACAGAAGACCAGATGTGTTCACTGAGGTCTGAAACCCCGAGGCTGGCATGAAGCAGGACGGGTGGGAGGGGCACAACTGGGAGAGGTGGTTTTAGAGAAACTAAATTTGCAGGATTGATGACTGTCCTTCAGGAGATGGAGGGAAGCTTTAAAAATCTTTAAGGAGGAGAGAAAAATGGATCTTGGTATTTCTTTTGCAGTTGCAGGCTTATGACTCGGCATTTATAATTCTTTATAACACACTGTAGTCAGTGAAGGCTGTGTTATTCTTGTAAACTACAGAACTCAAAGGTTTACCGATGACTCCTGTGCGCAGGAGGGGAAGACCCTCTATGAGGTGGATTGATTCAGTGACTGGGGTAATCGGGATGGGTGTGTGAGAGGCAGTGCGATTGGCACAGGATAGAGCAGGGTTTAGGGCTGTTGTACATAGGGTCGCTATGAGTCGCAAATGACTCGATGGCACACAACAACAACAACAACCACCTGTGTGTTAAGACTTTAGGCTTCATTTCCATAAAAATATTTACATTTATTTGTAGGAAATGTCTATGTGTTCCTTTACATTTAGGTGTTCAGAATCTGGAGGTTCCATTCTCTGTGTCAGAGAAGGTGTTATAATAATTTGACCAGCGGTGTGCCATTTGGTACTTAAATGACCCAACCAAGGAGAGATGATCACTGTATTTTCATGTATATAACATCTATGCATTTGTATACTAAAAAACTCAACTCAACTGTTATCAGGTTAGAACCAACTCATAGCTGACCCTCCAGTGGATTTTCAGAGGTTGTAAACGGCATGCAAAGAAACTGTCCATCTTTATCCTGTGAAGCTGCTGGTGGACTCACATCACCTATCCTTGGTTTGGCAGCCCTGGAGCAGAAGCTCAAGGCAAAGGACTTTTTCTCAGAATCATCTGAGATGGATAGCCTTCTCTAAGACTAGTACCTGGTATTTGGATTGTTGTTGTTGTTGTTATGTGCTGTCAAGTCGCCTGTGACTCATAGCGACTCAACAGCCTGAAACCCTTCTCTATCCTGTGCCAATCTCACTGTCTCTGACACATCTATCCCCATTACCCCAGTCATTGAATCAATCCATCTCATTGAGGGTCTTCTCTCCTGAGCTGACCCTCCACCCTCCCAAGCATGACGTCATTCTCCAAGGACTGCTTCCACCTTGCAACATGTCCAAAATATGTCAGACAAAGCCTCAGAATCTTTGCCTCCAAAGAGCAGCCTGATTTAACCCTCTCCAGGATAAACCTGTTTGTTTTCTTAGCAGTCCATGGTATATTCATGGTATTTGGATTTAGAGATGCCTAAACTCAAGAGATACTGGCCACAGCATAAGAAATTGGCAGCAGCATGAGGCATTTGGAATCACAAAATCCCAGAAGGCTTGAGATAAAAATCATAATATCCAGGGCTGGATAGGGGAAGAGAGGTGTTGAATGGTGTAGGCAGGAGTAGAAGGGGATGCAGGTGGAGCAGGGAAAGGGGTGGGTCAAGACACATGTGTCAAAGGCGGGGGCAACACTGAATCTATTGGTTATTTCTATAATTGGGAAATGTCTTTCATCTGCTCCTTTCTGTAAAACACTTGTCTGTCAGAGACTGTTCTCAATCTGAGCATTCAAATTAAGACAGACTAGGAAGAAGGATTGGTGATCCACTTCTGAAATAGCAGGCCTTCGAAAACCCTATGTACAATAGAGCACACTTAGACTAGCACATAGGGCAACTGAGGCTGAGCCCTCAGGTATGGAAACCAAAAGGAGGAGGAACAGTTGTAAGCAGACACTAGTGACTGGAACATGGAATGTGAGAAGCATGAATGTAGGAAAATTGGGCATTGTTAAGAAAGAAATGGAACGCATAAATATTGACATACTAGGTACTAGCGAAATGAGATGGACTGGCATGGGACATTTTGAATCAGATGATCATTTGATCTACTATGCTGGAGATGAAAAAGTGAGGAAAAATGGGGTTGTTTTCATAGCTTAAAAAGTCATTTCTAGATCCATCTTGAAATACAATGTTGTGAGTGACAGGATAATATCCTTACACATACAAGAAAGTCCAGTGACTATCACTATCATTCAAATGTATTCACCTACAACTAGAGCCAAAGAGGAGGAAATAGATTTCTACTAACTTTTACAGTTGGAAATCGATCAAACATGCAATCAAGATGCATTAATAATAACAACAGGTGACTGGGATGCAAAAGTTGGGAACAGAGAAAGATCTATAGGTGGAAAACCTGAACTTGGTGACAGAAATGAAGATGGAGATAGAAAGATAGGCTTCTGTTCATTAATAAATTTATGCATTGCAAATACTTTTTATAAGAAACATAAACACAGGCTATACACATGGATTTCACCTGATGGTATGCATAGGAATCAAGATCGATTACATCTGTCGGGGGGGGGGGAATCACTGGAGAAGCTTAAATATCAGCCGATTACAATCAGGCCAGGTGCTGATTGTGGAACAGACCACCAACCACTCATATGCAAGTTCAAGTTGAAGCTAAAAAAAAAAAATCAAATTCACAGGAACCAAAATTTGACCTTGAGTCTATACCACTCGAATTTTAAAACCATCTCAGCAACAGGTTTTAGGCCTTGAACATGAGAGCAAAGACCTGATGAGCTGTGGGAGGATATCAAGAATATCATCCAGAAAGAACGCAGGGGGTCATTACAAAGATAGGAAGAAGAAAAGAACAAGATGGATGTCAAGAAATTAAGGAGCAGAACAGAAGATTTCAAAAGTCAGTGCAGAAAGAGAAAGTGTTATAATGAAATGTGCAAAGAACTGGAGTCAGAAAATTAAAAGGACTGAACTCGCTCAGCATTTCTTTATTTTAAAGAACTGAAGAACAAATTGAAGCCACAAATTGCAATGTTAAGGATGGTTTGGGCAGAATATTAAATGAACCAGGAAGCATTAAAAGAAGATGGAAAGAGTATACAGTCTTTGTACCAAAAGGAATTAGTG